CTCATCATCGACTGCAGACTGGAGTCAGCCGCTGCTGGGTGGAGCTGCCACTGCTACCTACCACCCCACCCACCCTTTGCAGCAGCATGGCAGCGGAACGCGAGCGCACAGGGCCCACAGTGTCTGAGGATGGACGTTGGCGCACAAAGGCAGAGACCAAACTGACTACATAGGTGGTTTTTATAGTACGTTATTTTGGCCTCCCCTCTCAGGAGGTGTGAAAAAGGCCACCATTTTTGAACGGTAGCGAGGGTCCCAACAAGGTGGACAGCCAAAAGTCATCCCTCTGTCTGATGGTTATTATTCGGCTGTCGCTGGACGGCAAGCAACCGAGCATGCTATGGGCCATTTGTGCCAAGGAATGCGAGGGACTCCCTGCCTCCATCTCCACAGCATACTGCCACGGTGCGTCTGGGTCCTCTGTCTCCTCCTCAGCTCCTCCTCCTCTACCAGATGCTCCTGCTCCTCCCACTCCTGTCCGCTGAGTGGAAAAACCACCCATTTCACTCAATAATTCCTGAGCACAAATGTCCTCCTCTACCTCCTCCTCTTCTTCCTGTCCTGCCCCCACAGGGGTCATGTGGCGTTGAGATCTGTGCGCCACGTCTACCGCACCCTGACCAGCAGCCATTTAAACAGCATTTGTTCCAGGACGTGCAACAGAGGAATGACGTCGTGTTCATCCCATAGTCCTGCCGACTCACGAATAGCGTGGCCTCCTCAAAGGGCCTGAGCAAGCTGGCAGGTGTCACGCATAAGCTGCCAATGGCTGACATCGAAGTTACACAGGGGAGAGTACCTTTATCCGCTTGTAACATCATGCTTAAATCGGGATGGCAGCTTTCGCTGGGGAGGTCGTAAAGGCAGTCTACCCCATGTGTAGGGTTGAATTCCACCAGCAGTGTGTTGAGCAAGTCGCAGAATCAGGCGACATGGCAGAATTGTGTGCCGATGGGCTGAGCAGCTCAAGGAGGGCCTGGCTTTGCGGTGTACAGGGACCCATGAGAATCTGGCTGGACCCTATGCATGCAAAAAATTACGTGACATTTTACAGGGTCTTGCAGTGGGGATATGGATGGTGGATTTTAGGGGCTTGACAACCAGAGCTGAACACGTGAGCCCACATGCTGGCAGCACCCTGGCACAACCTTGGGAACACACAGCAGAGCAGGACACCATGTTCTTTCCGTTGTGGTCAACATGGTTCCGATTTTCAGTTTGCACATGGAGACAGCATGTGTCAATTTCTCTGTTCCATTACAGATGAGAAGTTGCCCCTGTGTGACTACGTTGTGGCCTGGACCTGGCAGCAGCATGAGGAGGCGGCTATAGGGGCCCATGGCAGATTAGGGGCCTGGCAGCAGCTATGGGGGGGCCCGTAATCTGCCAGCACCCTATGTCAAAAAAAAATTGAACACACCAGCAGTGTGTGAGGAGACCTGAAAGTGGCACATGGCATGGCGATGAGACAGCAGCTGTGGCCTACAGGGACCCATGGCAGCAGCATGAGGAGGCGGTACAGGGGCCCATGGCAGATTAGGGGCCTGGCAGCAGCTATGGGAGGCCCGTAATCTGCCAGCACCCTATGTCAAAAAATGAAACACACCAGCAGTGTGTGAGGAGACCTGAAAGTGGCACATGGCAGAGTGTGTGGCGATGGAGACAGCAGCAATGGGGAGGCCGTACAGGGACCCATGAGAGACTCTGGACTGGCAGCAGCAGCATGAGGAGGCGGTTATATAGGGGCCCATGGCAGATTAGGGGCCTGGCAGCAGCTATGGGAGGCCCGTAATCTGCCAGCACAGCCTGTTGTGACAAAAAAATGGAACACACCAGCAGTGTGTGAGGAGACCTGAAAGTGGCACATGGCATGAGACACTGTGGACCTGGCAGCAGCATGAGGAGGCGGTACAGGGGCCCATGGCAGATTAGGGGCCTGGCAGCAGCTATGGGAGGCCCGTAATCTGCCAGCACCCTATGACAAAAAATTGAACACACCAGCAGTGTGTGAGGAGACCTGAAAGTGGCACATGGCGATGGAGACAGCATGGCATGAGACACTGGGACCCCTGGCAGCAGCATGAGGAGGGCGGCGGTATAGGGGCCCATGGCAGATTAGGGGCCTGGCAGCAGCTATGGGGAGGCCCGTAATCTGCCAGCACCCTATGACAAAAAAATGGAACACACCAGCAGTGTGTGAGGGAGACCTGAAAGTGGCACATGGCAGAGTGTGGCGATGGAGACAGCAGCAATGGGAGGCCGTACAGGGACCCATGAGAGACTCTGGACTGGCAGCAGCATGAGGAGGCGGTATAGGGGCCCATGGCAGATTAGGGGCCTGGCAGCAGCTATGGGAGGCCCGTAATCTGCCAGCACCCTATGACAAAAAATGGAAACACACCAGCAGTGTGTGAGGAGACCTGAAAGTGGCACATGGCAGAGACACTGTGGAGACAGCAGCAATGGCAGCAGCGTAAGGGACCCATGAGAGATGGCTGGGTAGCATGAGGAGGGGGTATAGGGGCCCATGGCAGATTAGGGGCCTGGCAGCAGCTATGGGAGGCCCGTAATCTGCCAGCACCCTATGACAAAAAATGGAACACACCAGCAGCAGTGTGAGGAGACCTGAAAGTGGCACATGGCAGAGTGTGGTGGTGATGGAGACAGCAGCAATGGGAGGCCGTACAGGGGACCCATGAGACTCTGGACTCTGGAGCTTTGGCAGCAGCATGAGGAGGCGGTATAGGGGCCCATGGCAGATTAGGGCCTGGCAGCAGCTATGGGAGGCCCGTAATCTGCCAGCACCCTATGACAAAAAATGGAAACACACCAGCAGTGTGTGAGGAGACCTGAAAGTGGCACATGGCATGGCATGGAGACACTGTGGACCTGCAGCAGCTCTGGATGAGCAGCATGAGGAGGCGGTACAGGGGCCCATGGCAGATTAGGGGCCTGGCAGCAGCTATGGGAGGCCCGTAATCTGCCAGCACCCTATGACAAAAAAATGGAACACACCAGCAGTGTGTGAGGAGACCTGAAAGTGGCACATGGCAGAGTGTGGCGATGGAGACAGCAGCAATGGGAGGCCGTACAGGGACCCATGAGAGACTCTGGACCTGGCAGCAGCATGAGGAGGAGGCGGGTATAGGGGCCCATGGCAGATTAGGGGCCTGGCAGCAGCTATGGGAGGCCCGTAATCTGCCAGCACCCTATGACAAAAAATGGAAACACACCAGCAGCTGTGTGAGGAGACCTGAAAGTGGCACATGGCATGAGACACTGTGGACCTGAGAGACTCTGGACTTGGCAGCAGCATGAGGAGGCGGTACAGGGGCCCATGGCAGATTAGGGGCCTGGCAGCAGCTATGGGAGGCCCCGTAATCTGCCAGCACCCTATGTCAAAAAATGGAACACACCAGCAGTGTGAGGAGACCTGAAAGTGGCACATGGCAGATGGCGATGGAGACAGCAGCAATGGGAGCCTGGGAGCAGACTCTGGACTTGGCAGCAGCATGAGGAGGCGGTACAGGGGCCCATGGCAGATTAGGGGCCTGGCAGCAGCTATATGGAGGCCCGTAATCTGCCAGCACCCTATGACAAAAAATGGAACACACCAGCAGTGTGAGGAGGAGACCTGAAAGTGGCACATGGCAGAGTGTGGCGATGGAGACAGCAGCAATGGGAGGCCGTACAGGGACCCATGAGACTCTGGACTTGGCAGCAGCATGAGGAGGCGGTATAGGGGCCCATGGCAGATTAGGGGCCTGGCAGCAGCTATGGGAGGCCCGTAATCTGCCAGCACCCTATGTCAAAAAAATGGAAACACACCAGCAGTGTGTGAGGAGACCTGAAAGTGGCACATGGCAGAGTGTGGCGATGGAGACAGCAGCAATGGGAGGCCGTACAGGGACCCATGAGAGACTCTGGACCTTGGCAGCAGCATGAGGAGGCGGTATAGGGGCCCATGGCAGATTAGGGGCCTGGCAGCAGCTATGGGAGGCCCGTAATCTGCCAGCACCCTATGACAAAAAAATGGAACACACCAGCAGTGTGTGAGGAGACCTGAGTGGCCTGAAAGTGGCACATGGCATGAGACACTGTGGACCCATGGCAGCAGCATGGAGGAGGAGGTGGCAGTACAGGGGCCCATGGCAGATTAGGGGCCTGGCAGCAGCTATGGGAGGCCCGTAATCTGCCCAGCACCCTATGTCAAAAAAATGGACACACACCAGCAGTGTGAGGAGGAGACCTGAAAGTGGCACATGGCATGAGACACTGTGGTACCTGGCAGCAGCATGAGGAGGCGGTACAGGGGCCCATGGCAGATTAGGGGCCTGGCAGCAGCTATGGGAGGCCCGTAATCTGCCAGCACCCTATGTCAAAAAATGGAACACACCCAGCAGTGTGTGAGGAGACCTGAAAGTGGCACATGGCAGAGTGTGGCGATGGAGACACAGCAGCAATGGGAGGCCGTACAGGGACCCATGAGAGACTCTGGACTTGGCAGCAGCAGCATGAGGAGGCGGGTATAGGGGCCCATGGCAGATTAGGGGGGCCTGGCAGCAGCTATGGGATGGGTAAGGCCCGTAATCTGCCAGCACCCTGTATGACAAAAAATGGAATGGCACATGCAGCAGTGTGTGAGGAGACCTGAAAGTGGCACATGACCCATGAGACACTGTGGACCTGGACCTGGCAGCAGCATGAGGAGGCGGTACAGGGGCCCATGGCAGATTAGGGGCCTGGCAGCAGCTATGGGAGGCCCGTAATCTGCCAGCACCCTATGACAAAATGGAACACACCAGCGCAGTGTGTGAGGAGACCTGAAAGTGGCACATGGCAGAGTGTGGCGATGGAGACAGCAGCAATGGGAGGCCGTACAGGGACCCATGAGAGACTCTGGACCTGGCAGCAGCATGAGGAGGCGGTATAGGGGCCCATGGCAGATTAGGGGCCTGGCAGCAGCTATGGGAGGCCCGTAATCTGCCAGCACCCTATGTCAAAAAAATGGAACACACACCAGCAGTGTGTGAGGAGACCTGAAAGTGGCACATGGCAGAGTGTGGCGATGGAGACAGCAGCAATGGGAGGCCGTACAGGGACCCATGAGAGACTCTGGACTTGGCAGCAGCATGAGGAGGCGGGTATAGGGGCCCATGGCAGATTAGGGGCCTGGCAGCAGCTATGGGAGGCCCGTAATCTGCCAGCACCCTATGACAAAAAATGGAACACACCAGCAGTGTGTGAGGAGACCTGAAAGTGGCACACATGGCATGAGACACATGAGACACTGTGGACCTGGCAGAGCTGGACCTGGCAGCAGCATGAGGAGGCGGGTACAGGGGCCCATGGCAGATTAGGGGCCTGGCAGCAGCTATGGGAGGCCCGTAATCTGCCAGCACCCTATGTCAAAAAATGGAACACACCAGCAGTGTGTGAGTGAGGAGACCTGAAAGTGGCACATGGCAGAGTGTGGCGATGGAGACAGCAGCAATGGGAGGCCGTACAGGGACCCATGAGAGACTCTGGACTTGGCAGCAGCATGAGGGAGGCGGTATAGGGGCCCATGGCAGATTAGGGGCCTGGCAGCAGCTATGGGAGGCCCGTAATCTGCCAGCACCCTATGTCAAAAAAATTGAACACACCAGCAGTGTGTGAGGAGACCTGAAAGTGGCACATGGCAGAGTGTGGCGATGGAGACAGCAGCAATGGGAGGCCGTACAGGGACCCATGAGACTCTGGACTTCGCAGCAGCATGAGGAGGCGGTGTATAGGGGCCCATGGCAGATTAGGGGCCTGGCAGCAGCTATGGGAGGCCCGTAATCTGCCAGCACCCTATGACAAAAAATGGAACACACCAGCAGTGTGAGGAGACCTGAAAGTGGCACATGGCATGGCATGAGACACTGTGGACCTGGCAGCAGCATGAGGAGGCGGTACAGGGGCCCATGGCAGATTAGGGGCCTGGCAGCAGCTATGGGAGGCCCGTAATCTGCCAGCACCCTATGACAAAAAATGGAACACACCAGCAGTGTGTGAGGAGACCTGAAAGTGGCACATGGCAGAGTGTGGCGATGGAGACAAACCCACCGACTGTTTTGCTCGCTGCCAAGCTGCCACCCTCTTCTCCTGATGATGCGGAAGCAATAGCCTGATGACGACGAGGCTGCCAAGTGCGATCAGCCTCATCATCATCAATTAGGGTCTCCGCCTCACTACTAGCCCCCTCGGCTGCGTGTGGGTCAGGAGACAGACCTGTCTCTAGACCGGCTACCGAGCCACTCTCCTCGCCACTACTTCTTCGCCTGGCTGGCTGCTGAAGAGGCGGATGTCTCCCCCCGTTCAATTCTGACCGCCCTCTGTTAGCTCTTCCTCACTGTACTGGATGACACCGGGAGCACTGGCCTCTGGCTGCGAATAGTGCTGCCTCGACCCCTTCCTCTGCTGCCACGTCTGCTCGCTCCTAAAACATTGCCTCCTCTGCCACTCCTCTGCATGTTGTCTGACATACTCTTTAATTCAACGATTCTGTGTCCCTGAGTAACAATTCTGTGTCTGTCCCTGAGTAACAATTCTGTGTCCCTGAGTAACGTTTCTGTGGCCCTAAGTAACAGTTCTGTGGCCCTCAGTAGTAACAATTCTGTGTCCCTCAGTAACAATTCTCTGTGTCCCTCAGTAACAATTCTGTGTCCCTCAGTAACAATTCTGTGTCTGTCCCTGAGTAACAATTCTGTGTCCCTGAGTAACAATTCTGTGTCCCTCAGTAACAATTCTGTGTCCCTCAGTAACAATTCTGTGTCCCTCAGTAACAATTCTGTGTCCCTGAGTAAAATTCTGTGTCTGTCCCTGAGTAACAATTCTGTGTCTGTCCCTGAGTAACAATTCTGTGTCCCTAAGTAACGTTTCTGTGCCCTAAGTAACGTTTCTGTGCCCTAAGTAACGTTTCTGTGGCCCTAAGTAACGTTTCTGTGGCCCTAAGTAACGATTCTGTGGCCCTCAGTAACAATTCTGTGTCCCTCAGTAACAATTCTGTGTCCCTGAGTAACAATTCTGTGTCTGTCCCTGAGTAACAATTCTGTGTCTGTCCCTGAGTAACAATTCTGTCTGTCCCTGAGTAACAACGTTTCTGTGGCCCTAAGTAACAGTTCTGTGGCCCTCAGTAACAATTCTGTGGCCCTCAGTAACAATTCTGTGTCCCTCAGTAACAATTCTGTGCCTGTCCCTGAGTAACAATTCTGTGTCTGTCCCTGAGTAACAATTCTGTGTCCCTGAGTAACGTTTCTGTGGCCCTAAGTAACAAGTTCTGTGGCCCTCAGTAACAATTCTGTGTCCCTCAGTAGTAACAATTCTGTTCTGTGTCCCTGAGTAACAATTCTGTCTGTCCCTGAGTAACAATTCTGTGTCTGTCCCTGAGTAACAATTCTGTGTCCCTCAGTAACAATTCTGTGTCCTCTGAGTAACAATTCTGTGTCCCTGAGTAACAATTCTGTGTCCCTCAGTAACAATTCTGTGTCCCTCAGTAACAATTCTGTGTCCCTGAGTAACAATTCTGTGTCTGTCCCTGAGTAACAATTCTGTGTGTCTGTCCCTGAGTAACAATTTTCTGTGGCCCTAAGTAACGTTTCTGTGGCCCTAAGTAACGTTTCTGTGGCCCTAAGTAACGATTCTGTGGCCCTAAGTAACGTTTCTGTGGCCCTAAGTAACGCCCTAAAGTAACGGTATCTGTGGCCCTAAGTAACGGTTCTGTGTCCCTCAGTAACAATTCTGTATCCCTCAGTAACAATTCTGTGTCTGTCCCTAAGTAACAATTCTGTGGCCCTAAGTAAAGTTTCTGTGGCCCTAAGTAACGTTTCTGTGTCCCTAAGTAACGATTCTGTGGCCCTAAGTAACGATTCTGTGGCCCTAAGTAACGTTTCTGTAGCCCTAAGTAAGTTTCTGTAGCCCTAAGTAACGTTTCTGTGGCCCTAAGTAACGTTTCTGTGGCCCTAAGTAACGGTTCTGTGGCCCTCAGTAACAATTCTGTGGCCCTCAGTAACAATTCTGTGTCTGTCCCTAAGTAACAATTCTGTGGCCCTAAGTAACGTTTCTGTGGCCCAAGTAACGTTTCTGTGGCCCTAAGTAATGATTCTGTGGCCCTAAGTAACGTTTCTGTGGCCCTCAGTAACAAATCTGTGTCCCTCAGTAACAATTCTGTGTCTGTCCCTAAGTAACGTTTCTGTGGCCCTAAGTAACGGTTCTGTGGCCCTAAGTAACGGTTCTGTGGCCCTCAGTAACAATTCTGTGTCCCTCAATAACAATTCTGTCTGTCCCTAAGTAACAATTCTGTGGCCCTAAGTAACGTTTCTGTGGCCCTAAGTAACGGTTCTGTGGCCCTCAGTAACAATTCTGTGTCCCTCAATAACAATTCTGTGTCTGTCCCTAAGTAACAATTCTGTGGCCCTAAGTAACGATTCTGTGGCCCTCAGTAACAAATTCTGTGTCCCTCAGTAACAATTCTGTGTCTGTCCCTAAGTAACAATTCTGTGGCCCTAAGTAACGTTTCTGTGGCCCTAAGTAACGTTTTCTGTGGCCCTCAGTAACAATTCTGTGTCCCTCAATAACAATTCTGTGTCTGTCCCTAAGTAACAATTCTGTGGCCCTAAGTAACGTTTCTGTGGCCCTAAGTAACGATTCTGTGGCCCTCAGTAACAAATCTGTGTCCCTCACTAACAATTCTGTGTGCTGTCCCTAAGTAACAATTCTGTGGCCCTAAGTAACGATTCTGTGGCCCTCAGTAACAAATCTGTGTCCCTCAGTAACAATTCTGTGTCTGTCCCTAAGTAACAATTCTGTGGCCCTAAGTAACGTTTCTGTGGCCCTAAGTAACGATTCTGTGGCCCTCAGTAACAATTCTGTATCCCTCAGTAACAATTCTGTCTGTCCCTGAGTAACAATTCTGTGTCCCTAAGTAACGTTTCTGTGGCCCTAACTAACGATTCTGTGGCCCTAAGTAAACGTTTCTGTGGCCCTATGTAACGTTTCTATGGCCCTAAGTAACGATTCTGTGGCCCTAACTAACGTTTCTCTGTCCCTAAGTAACGTTTCTGTGTCCCTAACTCTCTCCCTGCATACAGCCAGGTCTGCCTCTGTTGAATGACTAGAGGCAAATGGAGAATTCTAAAATGGCCGCTATTTATAGCTCGACCATTACACTGTGTGCTGGCTCTGCTGATTGGCTAATGCGATCACATGTCATGAATGAATGCATTATGGGTCAGCGCGCCTTGTCTGCGCGCCTTCCCAGACATCCCCGCTCCGTCGCCGCACATGTCGCCGCCATTTTAGGAAAAATTTCGATTCGCGCATCCGAAGTCTGCTTATTTTTGGATTCGACGCAAATCGAAATTTTCCTAATATTCGAAACGAATTCCACTTCGCCTACTTCGATTCGCTCATCTCTAGTCCTGATGTCCACTAAAGGGTGTCCTCCTATGAAGATGTCCAGAGATGCAGACATCACCTAGGAATAAATGGAAGGTGTGGAGAAATGGCGGGAAGGGGGAGGGGGGGTTAGGATAGATTCTCAGGAATCAGAGTTAACTACAAAACTAAGATTCCCAAACATCAAAACAATCTGCACTGGGAGTCAGTAAGAAAGTATTGGAGTTTTTTATTAGAAAGTAATGCATTCATGCACATCCTGACTTTTACCCAATCAAGGTATTCCATGCTTCAGCTATCCATGGTGCCACTTCAGGGTCCTTTGGAACAGACTTGCAAAACAGTGTGAATGAGGCCAAAGATCCTTAACCAAAAAGTGAACAATTTAGGGTATGTCCACCAAATTGGCAGGACATCACCTTTCTGGCCACATCCTCTGAAGCATCTGTGATCCTAGGACAGTGAGCCTTTGCTTTTCATACTGGTGCCCAGTTCTAGTGAAAAAGAGCTTTGTAATTCGATTCATGAAAAGTGGTGTTGAAGGAGCATTAAGCTGGGTCAGGCCTTGCTCTAGTCCTCAAGAAGTATTGCACAATTAAAGTTTTGTTAACGTGGTTGTAAATCCAATATCTACCAATATCAAACACTCATATCTCTGTACAGTTTGTAGAATGAACATGACAAGCACATTATTTGTTCTTCAATTTTTTTTATCTCTTTGCCTGTTTCAGCCCGCTGAATGTCTCCCAGTCTGTGGGCATGTACAGTGCCCAGAGTTTGTCATGGCGAAGTCATGATGTCACTAGACTCCCCTCCCAGCTGTACACACAAAGCTGTTGGATGGTAGTGCTGCAGGTCCAGAGCAGAGAGGAATGGAGAGCAAGTGACAGTGTGGGCTCCATGCTAAGGCTGTGTGAGACACCTGAATAAGTCTGTCATTCAAAGGAGGGGGGCGTGGTGACACCTTTTTTATTTAGGTGTCGGAATTTTTTACTGTAGAAGATAGGAGAGGATTGCAGATGACAGGATGCTCTTCTCCTGGCCAAACTGAGGATAGTAGAGTTCTGCTGCGCTGCTGAGTTAGATTCAATGTTCAGCTTAATTTAGAATTTTTCAGTTTACAACC